GTGTGTATTCACACTCTTTAACAATTAATATCCTGAGTGTTTTCTGACTCTATCAGGTAGCACATATAGAAAAATTGAGAGGTAGAATCCCATTTTGCAGCTCCCAGTCACTCAATGAAATCTTCAGCCCTATGCCTAGTATTGACTTCCTCTGCAACTTACGGTGAGAATGAAACAACTAAAAATTACTTCAGCACTGATCAAACTCTGTTAGAAGAAGGAAGAGTTACTGAATCTCAAGAAGGTGGGAAGCTAAGTCCCATCTTGCAAAGATGTTTGAACTATGAACCTATTGCTAAATAAATGACAGCTGGGAACCCTTCTCTGCCCCTGGGGCTAAGTGGCATTTGTCACTAGATCTTTGGGTCTTTTGGTGTCTCTCTAGTTCAAAAAATAACAATTTCTTGTTCTGAGTATCAGAGATAATATAAGGAATGTATCATTGTTCACGGGATATTTTCATAACATGAAGCCGAAGGAGGGAGCGGACTGAGAGCATGGAAGGGTTCCTGGGCCTGCAAAAACTTCTGGAAGAGTGTTGGAGGATGAGAACAGTACAGGACAGAGGGAGTCAAACCAGGTGTCATCTAGTACAGCCAAAATTGTGCCTGGGTGCATGATAGCAGCCAAATGGGGTGCTTGAGCTCATGCCACTTCCTTTCACTACGCAGTAGCAGTGTTTGCTATCACTAGCATCTACTTCCAGTGTAGATGATGTTCCCATATGCACCTTACCATGCATACATGACTGGGCTGTTGGAGGAAATGAGATGTGGGTATGGTACCCCAGCAGCAGATTGTTTCTTAACCAGTACAGTACAGAGTCTTGCCTGCTGAAGTGACTTAACTGACTGAAACCAATTCAGTGGTTGCTGGATTTGCCTTTTCTACATTTTAAATAAGTAATGAAGTCAACTTTAGTCCAGTAATAAAGTTCTTGTTTATAAGGAGAATAAAACTGGTGAGGGGGAAAAAAAAAGTAATGAAAAGGGAGACCAGGTTTTTCTCTGGGAGGTAAACGACCCCCAGCATATTTGAGCTGATTCGAGAACCTGTGAAATAAAGAGGACATCAAAGGACAGAGACAGAATTAAGCCAGGAAAAAGGAGGTTGAAACAAACCACAGAGGAAAGTACAGAATGTTGTCACAAGTTCAGAAGTAGTGAATTTTCCACAGGAAAGTTGATCAGCTTTGAACTGATGTTAAATTATCTAAACTATCTAGCTTTCCACAAAGCTTTTCCTGTAGTTTTGATCTGTACACAAAGCTTCTCAGAGAATTGTAAGACATGACAAGCAACTAAATTGCACTTCCTAGTTTTTGCAAATAAGGCAATTTATTTATTTTACTAAAACTATTGGGGGTTAAAACAAACTGAATGCATTCAGAAATGTTATGAAATTTCCCTTACAACAAATAATTGCTTTAATTTTAATTGATACTGTCTTGTTTGCTTTTATTTATTTCCAATGGCAAACCATAGCAAATATTTAAAAGGAAAAAAATTCCCCAAACCAGAACAAATTCCAGTTAAGTTCATCACTGTTTGATATTAACAGTGTTACTTGCTAATACTACACTACATTTCAGCTTGCCTCTGTCTTGCAGAATTTAAACAACTGATGTGTTTATGAGCATACTACACTTCCATACACCATGGAAGAACTTACACAAATTCTTTCTGTAGTAAAGGGATGGAAAAAAAAATCTACATGTCCATATATAGTACTTGCTCTCTAAATGTTGACAAGGATACCTGTACCTGGGGCCCTTGGTTGTTTTAGGGACTGTGCTTTCTTCTCTTGCCATGTATACAGAAGAGGAAGGGAGCCCCAAAGTCCTCGTGTACCATTATGCACCAGGAAGGGGACATCAGTTCCGCTCACTTGCAGGGAGGCAGGCTAGTTGGTGGCTGTTACTAAGACATGGTGATAACTTATGTGAATCACCTTCGACAGACCAGGAGAGACCTAATCAGGCTGGATCTATCCGGAAGACTAAAGGACCTTAAGGACAAGCCTTGTTTTCTCTCAGCAACGATGGGAGCTGAGTATTAGAGCCCTCTAGTGAGGTTTCTCGGAGTGGATCCCCGCCTGCAGCCCGTGGGGCCGAAGGAGTGGCTTTCCTTCCTAGGGGGGAACCGAAATTCCCTCTCGCGCTGCAGGGGGCGGCCGGCGGTTTGCTCCCCTTTAGGAAAAGCGCCCGACGGGAGCGCGGGCTCACCTGCGCCGCCGCCTCCTGAGTGATGTCCCTGCTCCGAGACCCCCCAGCCGCTGCCACTGCCGCTGAGCGAAGGGGATCTGCGCTCGGCGCCCAGCCCCCGGCGAGCATCCCGCACCCACGGAGCGGCAGCACTACGGCCGAGCCCCCGAAGCTGTCAGCTGCCTGGAGAGGGAAGGCAGGAGGGAAGGGAGGGTAGCCTGTTCCTAAAAATACTCCTCGGTCAAATCCCCGTGAGCCAGGGATGGAGATGGTAACAGAAGTGCCCTGAATCGGTAGGAACAGTGAACAATCTTCGTGCTTTCCTCATCATCTTGGAATAATCAGCGGAATTAACTGAGGTCGAGGAAACAGGCTCTTGGGTTAGTTGTGGGAGGCTGTGAGAATAGGGGGCAGCCATTAAAAGAAACCTGATCGCTATTCATCAACTCGGAAGAGGGGAAAGGAGGAGGGAAAAAAAAAAGACCTTCGTGGCTGAAGCTCATACCAACCTGGTCTATCTCTGATCAAGAAGATCCCTGGAAACAAGAAGTTTACAAATATTGTCAAATTGATGCTTGTAGTGTGATTTAAGTTGTCAATCCCGCAGAAGACCACCAGAAGTTTAGATTCAATACCCTGCATTTCTGGCTAGTTATTGCAAATCCCCTAAGGCAGAAAGCTCTCTCTCTCTCTTTTCTTATTTTAACCATATGTGCCTTTTGTTGTTGTTGTTGTCTTGTCTGTAAGCTGTACACTGTCTGCTGAGAGAGTCCCTTTCTGCCGCAGAGCATCTGAGGCGATCCCCACAGCCGGGAGCGGGGCGGGGGTTGGGTGGGCACCGGCCAGGGCCCCCCTCTTCACTCTCCCCAGCCAGCCCCCCAGCGGACTGTGCCCTCTGCAGGATCTGAGTTTGGCTGTGGGCCATGGAGGGGGGATACCCCAAATAAATACCAATGTTGAGAGTAACGACCGAGAAAGTGCTGATAGCAGAAGAGAGCGAAAACTCTAAGCCCCTAGCCCGAGATTGAGAAGGGGTAATATAAAAGTAATCAGGACCGGCCGCATTAGTCGGTTGGGGGGCTATCGTGTTTCCTGGGGAGCGCGGGAGGTTACAGCGCCTTGAGCTGGGGACAGTGCCGCCCCCGGAGTCCCATTTCACCGAGGGGCGGCAGGGACGCGGGGGAGGGAAGGTCCACCGAGGCCAACTCAGTCACGTTGCATCAGTCCCCTATCTCCTAATTAATACATTTCTTTCGAAGATGTTATTCGAGCATCTCAGGTCCAGCCGGCGGGGAAACCTCTTCGTGATATAGAGGAGCGGCAGACCTGAGGGCTCGGGAAGCGGGGACGCTCTCTGGGGCAGAGGCTCCGCTCCCGCCGGCGCCCAGCCGGGTCTCCCCTGTCCACAGCACCCCGCTCCCCGCCCAGCAGCCCAACAACGTTCTCTTTCAAGCGGATTTTGTTAGCATAATCGAGTTACCCGCTACATATCTGAAATCCTTGACCGGTCCCCTTGAGGAACGGCGCATTGCGCGCAGCAAAAGCTTTGAATTATTCCTTTCGCCCTAAATCAAGGAACAACAAGCAATTGTTGTTTGTCTTAATTTAGTTATGTGCAGTGATCCTCCGCCGTGCTTTTTTTTTTTTCATTCGGGACAGGATCTTAGTGCCATCTCTGATGGGATAGACTCGGGTTTTAAACAAAAAGCAAAAATAAATAACGGGAGGGCGGGGGGAACAACCCTGGGATCCGTGTTGCAAAACTGCCTCCGAGAATCCTGGGCGGGCTTTGGCTGCCTGAAGAATCCCTAGTCTCACCACGGAGAAATGTGTGGTCCCGGTGAGCCCCCGGGTTGGGGGGTGTGGGGCAGGTAGGCCTGATATCCTGGCAAAGGTCGCTATGATTTATTTAAAAAAAAAAAAAAAAAAGCAATCTAGCTGGAGTAGCAATACAATTGCGGCAGGCCTTCGGTCTCGGTAAACCCCACCGGTTTTAAGGGGAAAGCATATTGCAGCCCCGCCAAAAGGAAAGAAAAGCATTTGAAAAAAAAAAAAAAAAAAAAAGAAGAAGAAGAAAGAAAGAAACGAAAACTTGGAGTTGTTGTCTGTCATTTTGTAGCTCTCGCTACAGTCCTCGCCATCTGCGAGGAAGGTGTGATTCTTTCTGGCATGTGAAGGTTGCGGGGTTTATCATTTGTTAGTTACCCCTGCCGATACAAGTGCCCTCGGAGGGGCCCCGTGTCCCTGCCCTGCCCACGCCGGGAGCCGAGGCCGGCCGACAGGAGCGCGCGTGTCCACAGCTCTGGGAGAGTGGGTGACAGGCTTGTCCCGAGCCCTGCGAGGGGCTGAGCGGCTCGGTAAGAAGGGTAAGGGGCTCCTCAAAGGCAGTGGTCATGGGGGCTGGCGGAAAGGTGCAAGGCAGGAGTTTGGGGTGAATCAGCTCCTGTCTTTAGTGGTGTCTTTAACGGGAACCGTGCGGGCCTGCAGCCTTCCGCACAGGCTGCTGTCTACGAGGAAACGGTGAAGGCATAGCCGGAAAGGCGATTTCCAGATAACTGCAGAGCTACCTTTGCACTCAGTCGTGGGCACTAAGCAGTTACGTGCAAGGAAAGGCTCCTCTGAAGAGATACGGCCGCCTTCACCCTGTTCCTCAGATAGTCTGTATCCCAGTTAATGAAAGGAGCACTGCGATAAAAACGGCCTTTTTATTTCACTCATGTTTCACAATGATGGTCTCGCAGGCTGCTGCGTGTGCGGCAATGACTGCTCGGAGGGGTAAGGCGCTTGCCCCGTGGGCCCTGGGCAAAGTGGCAGTCGGGGCCGGGGCCGGGATGAAACCCGCCTTTTGGGTCACCTCAAATAAAACCTTCCACAGCAGCTAAACTGGAGACAGCCGGCAGCAACCAAGTGAAACGATCCCGTCGGACCGGGAACAAACGTGAACAGGCGATTCGCGCCTCCTGTTCTGAAATATAATGGCAGCGAACGAGCTCCTTAGCAAAAACCAAAAAAAGCTCCTCGCCCGATCGCCTATTTCCCTCGCAAGGCACTACAATGTTATTCGCCCCGTGCTGCGGCTTTGCTGCCAATATCTGCTCTGTCTACTTGCATGTACGGGAAATTTTTTTTTGTTTCAGAAAGTTAAAAGCAGTTATACAGAATTTGGATCCAGATGTCACTAATTTGCAATTGCTCTAGGACGCAAACTGATACAGGGTGCCCGGGAAGGGGGTAGCCCTGCCTCTGCCCAGCTCGCTGAGGAGTGAACTTACACTACAAGCAAGCTGCAGCGTAAAGTGAAAGCACCTACGGAGAAGCTGGCGTGTAGATTCCGTACTCACATTTTAGGGTGCTAAGAAGACTCTCAGATCTAAATCCACGCAACAGGTTTTGACATCTCCTTTCCGGCTAGGGCGAACAGCTGCTCCCGTTCAGATTCAACCACTGTGGTTGTGAGATGGAAGGAGAGGAAGAGCAGGCAGGTATATCCCTAAGAAGTGTGGGGGGACCAAGCATGGTAGCGGGGAGGCGGGAGACGCAAATCAGACCTCTCTAGCACTTTTTTGTATTTCCACGGTCCCCATTACGGGAGGGAGCAGAATGCACACGGGGTGTGTGCGCAGAGGTCGGGGATGGGAGAAGGGATTTGTGTTTCTCTCCCATTTCTGCTCAGAATACCATTTGAAGAGGATCAGTTGCCCGTCCCGTCACTATGCGCTACGGCTGCGAACTATCCAGCTGCTTAGATTGTCTAGGAAGCACTGAGATCGGGATGCTTTCGTTTACAAACAAGCACAGCTTGAATCCTGCAGAGATCGGCCGGAATAGAGGCACTAAGCAGTCGAGAGCTCATTTTAAAAAGGGACGAAGGGAAAATCATGCAAGGGGGCTTTACGGAGCCATCACCAACATCCCCGATTTTGTTTGAAACGAATTTGGGTTGTTTCTTTCTCGCCCTGAAAAAGGAGCCTCTATTTTGCGCCCCTGGGGGGATCCAGGGCGGGAACCGCCCGCTTGACACTGTTTCGTTATGGCAGCACTCGGGAAAAGCCCAGACGGACAGGTAGGAGGACACGTAGCTTCCTCAGTGGAATGCACTCGAGAAAGTACAGACATACGCCGCTGATATGCACAGGCGTCCGGACATGGTGAGAGCTGGACGCGGGCTGATCCGTTGCCCCCCTACCCCGCCCTCTTCCTCCTCCTCCTCCAGCCTCCCTCCCCCGCCGCATTTCCCCTGGCCGCAGCCCTGGCTCGGCTTCTCTCCGGGAGTCGCCGCCGCCGGGAGCCGCTGGGCTGCGCGCCGGCCACCCCAGCCTCGCCTTCCCACGGGACGGCCGCTGCGCCCGCCCGGGCCGGCACGGAGGCTCCGTCCATCAGCCGCGGAGGGTCAGGCTGAGAGGCGGGAAGCCGCAACCCGGTCTCTTGTGACTTCGCTAAATCCCTGACGCGCCGGGGCGGCTAAAAAGGTACCGTGGCAGGAACCCACAATTGCAGAGACCTCTCCTGTCAGGGCTGCAAATAGCGTAGAAAGAGCTTGTGGGATTAATTATTATTTCTCCTCAAAAGGGGTACATTACAGGCCATGGAAACTGCCCTGAGTTTGTGGTCGGGAGGCTCCTCCCGAGTGCCCTCACCTGGGCGACCCCCGACGCCAGCCTCTGCCCCGTCCCGCCGCGCAGCTCGAGCGCCGCTCCCGAAGAAGCACCGCGGCTCCCTTCACCCGCACATCGCACCCGCTCCCTCGACCTTACAGCTTGCACAACTTTCTCCCTCGCCTTTCACTTTGTGTAGACCGAAAGGGATGTGAAAGGATACGGATCCCTACCCCGCAGAGTCAGTAAACTTAAAACTCGGTGTGTAATGGGCACGCGTGGGTGACAAAGTGTCCGTCTAATCAAGCGAAGTGCCTCTGACTTTTACACTTTTACACGTGTTCCTCTCCTGGATGAAACATCCCGACACGCTCCTGGAAATCGAGTATAAATAAATGTCCGGCGTCCAGTGATCACAAATGCCAGCGCCCTGCACGGCAGAGCGTGGTGGGGGCACGGTCGGCGATTCATGGAGGGGCAATCCCGTATCATCATGCCTTCTCCTCACTCCCGGGCAGGTACGACCAGCGTGTAATGGGATCCCAGGTCACGAACAGGGTCTCCATTGTACATGAGAGGCCCCTTCCCTATAAAACTCTCCGACAGCGGTTACTGGGCTCTGGGGAGGGGGGCTAAGCGAAAGCATTTAGGAAGAAATTTTTCTGCAAGGGCTTGAGACGGGCTTTCCTCCCCACCGCAGCCGCGGGTGCCGAGGACGGCAGAGCCCGAGGTCCTGAGCGGCGAGGTCGGGACGGGACTGCGGGATCCAGACGGGGCGGCGGGGCCCGGCCGGGGAGGCGGCTCCGTCCCGCCGCGCCGCAGCGCCCTGCGGCGAGAAGCAGGGGCTCGGGCTCCGCGCTCCGGCGCTCCCCCTCTCCCCCGACGGGCGCCTGCAGCGTCAATCACGGCGGAAATTTCTCTCTCGCTAGCTAATATCTCAGCTCGCAGGGCCGCCTCTGAGTGGATCTGAGCAATCTGTCAACCCAGCCGGGGAGCCACCTCAAAACAGATCGGGTTACCCCTGATTGACAGCGTCACCATGGCAAATAATTTGACTAAAACTATTGTCTTCTGCTGGCAGTCCCCGGGTCAGATAACCGGACCAATCACAGTGCGGATAATCACTTTTCATGCCAGCTTAGAAAAATATTAAAAAAAAAAAAAAAAAAAGAGAGAGAGAGAGAAAGAAAGGGGGGAAAACTCCGAGAGGGAGAGGAGCGAGGGAGCAGGGCTTTACCACTATATTATGTGGGATCTGGCGGTGGGGGCTGGGGGGGAAACAGGGAGATCCCAAACCGTCGGCCGAGGGGGGTGGGGGTGTGAGAGCCGCGGCCGCTGCGAGCGCTGCAGATAGGAGACAAAAGAGGCACGAAGTTACTCTCGCAACTTGGACTTACAAAAAGGAGGGGGCGGCCGGGGGAAAAGCCGCCCGCACTCGGGCTCTCGAGGCTTTTTTTCGTCGCTCTTCGCCTTTTTTCCCCGGCTCCAGCAACCGCCCCGGGGCAGGGCGCAGCCGATGGCCGCGGCCCCCCGTGCCCGGCCGTGACGCCCGAGCGGGCCCCGCCGGGCGCCGCCGCCCCGGGGCCGGCCCCGCATGCCGGGCGCTGCCCGCTGCCCCGCGCCGCTCCCCTCTATGAGGCCATAGGGCGCGCGGCGGGGCAGGGCTCACCATGTCGATGCTCCCGACTTTTGGCTTCACCCAAGAGCAAGTGGCCTGCGTCTGCGAGGTGCTCCAGCAAGGCGGCAACATCGAGCGGCTGGGACGGTTCCTCTGGTCCCTCCCTGCCTGCGAGCACCTCCACAAGAACGAGAGCGTCCTGAAGGCCAAGGCGGTGGTGGCTTTCCACCGGGGCAACTTCCGCGAGCTCTACAAGATCCTGGAGAGCCACCAGTTCTCGGCGCACAACCACCCCAAGCTGCAGCAGCTCTGGCTGAAGGCGCACTACATCGAGGCGGAGAAGCTCCGGGGGCGACCCCTAGGGGCGGTGGGCAAGTACCGGGTGCGCCGCAAGTTCCCGTTGCCCCGCTCCATCTGGGATGGCGAGGAGACAAGCTACTGCTTCAAGGAGAAGAGCCGCAGCGTCCTCCGCGAGTGGTACGCCCACAACCCCTACCCGTCCCCACGCGAGAAGCGGGAGCTGGCCGAGGCCACCGGCCTCACTACCACCCAGGTCAGCAACTGGTTCAAGAACCGCCGGCAGCGGGACCGCGCCGCCGAGGCCAAGGAAAGGTACGGCTCCCCACGGCTTCCCCTGCTCTCGCGGCTGCCCGACCCCGCCGCTCGCCCCGCGCCTCCCGCTCTGCCCCGACCCCGGCTGCGGGAGGCCCGCCGGGAGGGGATGGGCTGTCCGCTGCGGGGGCGCCCAAAGAGCCAGTGGCGAACGAGCTGGGCTCTCGGTGAGGGCTTCTGTCCGCCGAAAGTAGCCCCGGGAGAGGCAGCCGAGACCCCTTCCCCGCCGGCATCCCATTCCCCGCACAGCCGACGCGGCGGCCCTAGGGCAGCCTCTGTAGCTGGGGTCGCTCCCCACGGCCGGCGGCGACTCCCGGTAAAGCAACGCGGCCGCCGCCTCTCCGGGGCAACCCGGAGTGAAGCCCAGCCGGGCTCGGTGGCCGGAGGTGCGTGTGGCAGTCTGCGGCCCGTCGGGACAGGCGGGCGGCGGCGGGGCCCAAGGGCAAGGGCTCCGCGCCCCGTACAGCTCAGAGCGTGTCCTGGAGGGTTACTCCGGTGCAGAAGGAGAAAGCCGGGGGGTAGAGGGAAACACGTAGGTCTGAACGCGTTTAGCAAATATGTCCAGTGTCGTCGGCTCCTGGCGTGAGGCGGTAGACCTGGACAAGGACTGAGCAGAGCAACTTCTTGCCTCGCTCGTGACATTGAAGTTCTTATTCCCTACTCAGTAAGGTGTTCATGAACGCGTGTCAATAGGTGTATGTTCTTAGGACGAACATGATTCTGCGATTGTGCTTTTCACGTTAAATGGAGTAAAGGGACTATTAATTGCCGGGCAGAGGTTAATGCCTATATCCTTGAGTATTCGGGATGACTGAAAAGTCATCAGCAGTCCCTGTGCCTTAGGAAGACGCAAAGGTTCGAAGAAGCAAAAAGGGTCCTCCAACTGCATTCACTAATTCGCTGAATTGCCCAGTCCGTACGAACCTGATCGTATGACCTGCACGGTCAATTAATAGATCAGAAATCTTCTGTAGATCCTTGCCTCTGAGGTAACTTCTATCTTTTGAGACTCTCTGTCTATCGTATTTTGGAAACGGGCAGCGCCGAGGCCGCACAGTTGTGCAACCCGGCAGGTTCGGGCACAGATTTGCTCTATTCATTTCACGAAACGGTGCTAGCGCTTTAATTTTACTTCAGATCCTCACAAGTGTTGGTTTTACGAGATGTTAGAGATCCTTTTTATTGCTGATAGCAGGGACTCACCTTCAAATATCCAAAGGAAATGAAGGTTACACTTATTCCATTCCTTTTTTTTTTTTTTCTTCCCGCGGAATCAAATTTTAAAGGTCTCCAGAGACAAATAAGATTTTTGACATTGAAAAATACACTCAACCTAATATTACACTCCAGGCGTTGGAAAACAGACCGTTCATGGGATTGCCATTCACTCAAGGAAACTTGTTCAAACAGAGCTTTCTTGTCTATTTTTATTTTTTTGGCACTAAGTGTCTCCAGCCACATCCTGCAGCCCTTAGTGAGGAAAAACCGTCAGTGCAATGGCTTAACTTCTCCAAATCCTGCAGGATAGGGCCCCTCTGCCAGACAGTGTGTTTCAAAACTTCCTCAGAAGCTTTTAAGTAGACTTGCATTGCCTTCAGTATTTCAGGCAGGACTGTGACTAAAGTATTTCTACGAGGGCTATGTCTAAAGGCCGCGTAAGCCTTGAAGGGACCCCAACTTGCTGCTCTCATTTCGGAAAAAATATAGATATATAAGTATATAGATGTATCTGCAAGGGGTTGGCCAGCCTCCAGCGATTTCTCGGTATTTACCCGGTGATGAATTTCGAAACTACGTCCTGCCTTTCCGAGCCTTTGTCGGTAGGCACACCGGCGGTGCCGACTATCCCCGCCGCGGAGCCGTGCGAGGGGCCACCCTGGCTGCGCCCACGGCCGTCCCAGTGGGGATGGAGGGGTAGCGGAGGCCGCCCGGAGCATTTCCCAAGAGGGCCGAGTTAACTCTGTTCGCTTGCCTTATCTTCCATATTGGGCTATATTTTGAGCGTTAGGCTCAGGGCGAGGCGGGAAAAAAACACGTCTTAAGCAAAAGACTTTTCCTCCTGATGTGAGCCCGGGAGGCTGTTCTGCTACACGGAGCCATTCTGACTGGAGTTCGTCGGACTTTGACCTTTCCAGGAGAAATCATGGCCAAATTTCTCTTCAGGTCCTAGAGCAGTTTTAAAGTTATAAAGTACTTTCTTTTTTTTTTTTTTTTTAATGTCTTCCTCCCTTCCGCCTCCCTCCTCATGCTGTGCAAACCCTTTGGACGCAGAAAATTACGTTTTGGCAAAGTGACACTTTCCACTGGGCTAGTGGGAGACACTGTTTACAAGCTCAGCGGACCTTAGACCTTAGTGCCAGATGAAGAGACCTTGGAGGTTTGCAGTTTTCAGACCTACTGTTTTTGCACTCCCCTCCGCTCGCTGCTCCCCGGAGCCAGCTCCCCGCCGCCCCCGCTCCAGCGGTGTGCGCCCCGGAGCGACGGCCACACGGTGATTTCCCTCCCTCTTTTGTGTTTCCTATAGGGAAAACAACGAGAATTCCAACTCCAACAGCCACAACCCGCTTTCGGCGTCAATGAACGGGAATAAGACAGTTTTGGGGAGCTCAGAGGACGAGAAGACGCCGTCAGGGACCCCGGATCACACCTCCTCCAGCCCCGCGTTGCTGCTTAGCTCCAATCCCGGGCTGCAGCCCCTGCACGGCCTGGGCCACCCCCAGGGCCCCAGCGCCATCCCCGTGCCCAGCGCCGACCCCATGCACCACCACAGCTTGCAGGACTCCATCCTCAACCCCATGTCATCTAACCTGGTAGATCTGGGCTCTTAAAACAGTGTACACGCTCCCTCCTTGGCACCAGCCCTCCTTTACTCTGTTTTTTTCTTTCCTTTTTTTTCTCCCCCCTTAATCTTACCAGAGACTTTGAAAGAGATGACAAACACCTTAGTGGATGTGTTGTGCCCTTTGGCAGAAGGCTGGCTGCAGGTTTGCAAGGTAGCGGATTCAACTGTGGGCAGTGATGTTGTGAAAAGCCTTAAGAGTTGTTTACAGGGGGGCTCAGGCGTGTAATGACTATTGGGCAGGAGCAGTGATTTTCACGGCAGGCTGTAAGGGGGATCGGTTTAACAGCTCTTTCCAGCCTTAATTTCACGAATCTCTCAGTGGTGTCACTCGATCGGGCCGGTCTGTGTGGGAAGAGGCACATTGTAATATTTTTTTTTCGGGGTGTGGGGAGGAAAGTGGAACGCAAGGCTGCTGTTGCCATGCCTGTTTGGAAGTTACACATCTCTCCCGTTATTCTATTATAGCTATGTATCCGTGGCAGGTGTATGATGTACAATTTCAACTAAGAATACAAAAGCTGTAGACAAGTTATAGCAGCAACACGCGCTCTAGGCAGACTCTGTAACCTTCTTGTAGCTGATGCTATGCAGAGAGACAGCTTCTTTGGCCTTGTCCATGTGGTGCTTTAGCCATTTGCTGTGCGGAAAAGGAAGCGGTGGCCCGGCTCTGGCCCGGAGGAAGGCAGAGACAGAAATCCCCCCTCTGTGTGCAACGTGGGCAGGAGCTGGCTTTAAAAAGAAAAGAGGAATTGCTGCTCAAGTTTAGACCTAAAAGACAGTATCAACCACAAGCCACTCACCTTAGTTTTGTTTCTTGTTTATATTATGTGAATACATTCTTTGGAAAATATTTCTGCTTTTATTTTATAATAAAAATTAGAAATCTAACTCGGCCTACGGTTGTTTCACTCGCCCGCGGGGTGTTTTCGGGCTCAGTCCTGAGCGGAACAGAGCGGGCCTTCTGGTGGGGGACGCCGGGGAAGGCGGCGTCGGGTGTTCAGACCCCGCAACGTGCCCCGTTTGGGGTGACCCGCGGAGCAACGCCCGGGTGCGTTGCTCCGGGGAAGCGGAGTGCGCCGGGGGGAGTTGAAGTCACCCTGCGGGGGCGGGGAGCTGAGGAGTCGGAGAAGGACGAGCGGAGCGGGCCCTGAGGGAAAAGTAGAGGTCAGCCACCTGCTCCACCGAGGGCACGGCCGTGCAGGCTACGGGCTTTTCCGCTCGGTGTCCGCTGGCTCCGGCAAAAAGCCGACCCCCCCCCCCGCCACCCTCTCCCCACCTCGCTTCAAGAGCAGGTGGGCAAACCATGTGTGGCCAGACCCTGCTCCGCAGTTCAGCACGGCTGGGCTGCAAACGCCTTTCCAGCGTCTGCGGGAGTGATGCTGGGAAAGGGATTGCTCTATTCCTCTCCTTTTTCTTTATTTTTAATTTTCTTTTCTGTAAGCACCGGCTGGCAAAAGAGACAGGCAAGTTGCTTGCCAGTTTGCCCCATTAAAAGATAAGAATTCAGAGTGATTTCAGTGCATCTTGCACCCTCGCTGCCACCTCTTTGCTAGAAGCCGAATGTCTTATGTCATCTGCTTAAAATGTTCCTCAGAGCTTGCAAAGAGTTTTATACTTTCCTTTTTTTTTTTCCTTTAAAATGATTTTCTTGTAAAAAATAAACAGAGAAAACGATATGGC